TTTGGTTTAGTTTGATCAGTAGTCTGACATTCAAAGATTTAAAGTTCAATTACCTACAGGAAGAAAAGCAAACCATGATAGTACTTTTCTTGTGCAAGAATTTAAAATTGTTTTTCATAAACCATAAAAGTAACAAATATGTCAAACAGTAAATAACCTGAATAGCAGGAAATGTATTGCTCTTTTTAAAGCATTACAACAAAGCACTCCCAGTTGTTGATTTGTTGATCTGCTAACACTGTTCAGTAGCTCGATATAAATCTGTAACTAGATCAGTGGTTCTTAACCTGGGTTCGATCGAACCCTAGGGGTTCGGTGAGTCGGTCTCAGGGGTTCAGCAGAGCCTCCGCCATGACATGCACGGCTCATTTTGTGCATCAGTAAAAAACATATGCATGTCTTGAATTTGAAAAAAATCATATTTTATTTTTCACTACAGAGGGGTTCAGTGAATGCGCATATGAAACTGGTGGGGTTTGGTACCTCCAACAAGGTTAAGAACCACTGAACTAGATTCAGTTTACTCTCTTGAGCAGTAAAGGCCAAACTGCTTACTTCAAGACAATAAATTATGAAGGGTGTCTGCTTGTTTTGGCTAATGTGGCTATAAGCTAAATATATGCATGGCTATAAATTAAAACAACAAAGTACTGTAACACAATATGTTACACCATCAATGGAGAAAAAAAGAATATCATACGTGTCGTGTGTGAACATCAGTTATGCAGTTTAAGTCTGGGATGTTCTAAGATTTATAGAGCCAGTCTATATTTGTGTCTTGATCCTACAAAGCAGTGAGGGTGAAAGTGGGAAATAAATGCTATCAGGAGTGGCTGCCATGTCGAGGGCCTGGCATGCTTTTCCATGTCTGCCATCACTTCCCTTTCAGTGTTATCAGCACTAAGAGGCAACTAGATGATTTTATCCAGGAGGTTCAATGAGCACAAAGTAACAATGTCTGATAAATTTAATTAAAAAAAAATATTGCTAGATAAAATAAAGTTTTGTCATCCGTTATCAATTTCATGAATAACCGACCTCGCTTGTCGTAAAGAATCTGGTATAACAGGCCTTGGGATATCTCTAATGTATACTTTAAGTCTTTTAACACTATACCATTGACTCGCCCATTGTGTCTTTAAGTGGCTCCCACTGTCAAGCACTTCAAAAACAAAAGGTTTTATTTTTGTCTTCCAGGGGGAATTGAATAGTCAAGATGCCTGAGAAAGCGTAAGTATATTGAGTTTCTATTATTATTTTAATTGCCGATTGAGAGGATCATTTACAAACAGTAAATAGAATTTAATCAGTAGAAATATAATTTAAACATGACAGGAGCAGTCAAGAATTACAATGAATTGAATTTCCTGTCATCAATAATAAAACACTAATGTTGGCCTTCTGTTTCAACCAACAGGCCAGAGGTAAGACTGAACTAAATACATTTACACTTACTAATGCTTCAAAAACAGCCACTTCAATCAGCATTACTGTAGACTAATAAAATGTCACAATATGATTAAAGAAACTGTGCTTTTCGCAGAGGAAATCTAAAATCTCAGCCTCTCGCAAGCTCATGCTGAAGGTGAGTAATCTGCAGCGTTTGGCACACAATAATATCTCACTCAGAAGGATCGATCAAATAATTAAATTTACTCGGTGTCTCGTGTTTCAGAGCTTGATGGTAGCCAAGGCCAAGGAGGAACTGGAGCAGGAGATTGTAGAAAAAGACGAGCAAAAGGCAAAGTATCTGGAGGAAAAAGCTCCTCCAATACAGACCGGTGGCCTCTCCTTAGCAGAGCTACGGGTACCATTTAACATTCATCATCATTTTGTTGCCACCCACAGACTAAAGCTACGTGTGGTTACAGAAATTACACTGTCAAGAACTCAGTTATTCATCTCAGGACATTACGGGGAAATGATCTAACTTTGCAGATATTATGTGAGGAGCTGCATGCCAGAATAGATGTGGTGGACGAGGAGCGCTATGATATTGAAGCCAAGGTCTTCCATAACACCAGAGAGGTAAAAAACACAAAACTGTAGCAAAACTAAACTAAAA